ATTCTAGTTCCTACTGCTTTTTTACTTATAATTTATGTAAAAACTGTTAGTCAAAGTGATTAATTTGAATGAAACTTGACTTCTTAGTTCTCATCAATATGAACGATTAAAGAAAAACTGAAAAAAAAAAATTCCAATTGCGTGTCTTAGATCAAATGAACAAACTAGAATAAGTAGTATCTATTCAATAGGATCTGACAGTACGGTAGAAAGAACTATAGAGTTCTTTTTACCATACTATCCATTTGTTTTTTCGAATTTCTAAAGAATAAAGAATTCGGTTTAAACCTCCATGTATTGATACTTGCAAAATAGAATGTCATACATTACAAAGAAATGAAAGAACGTAGGTGCTCAACCAGAAAGTCAGTAGCGACCAAGCAATGACAATTTGTCTCAACTCTATATTTAATGGAAAGGAAAATAAGGGCAAGCGCTCTAAAACAAGCTCCTAGGAGACCACACCTCGGCAAGGAAAGAATAACGATCACATGATGAGGCGCTCTGAAGATCGACACATTGAGGAAGAGCTTGACATTGGGAAAGTCTGACAAGGGGTGATTGAAAGTTCACCCATTCTCCCATCCTCATTCCAAAACAAGTATGACAAGGCCAAGCAAGCAAAGAAGTAAGGCGTCATACATCCCACCACTACAAATCAGGCACCTCGCTAAAGGAATGAGGCGCCTGACGCCCCAATGAAGGTCAGACACCTCGCTGAAGTAGTGAGGTGTCTGGCGCCCAACTGAAGGTCAGACACCTCTGCAAAGGAGCGAGTCATGAGACTCCCAATTGAAGGTTATGCACCTCGCTGAAGGAGTGAGGTTCCAGGAGCCCAACTGAAGGTCAGACACCTCGACAAAGGAGCGAGTAGCCAGGCGCCTCACTAAAGGTGTGAGGTGTCAGGCGCCCAGCTGAAGGTCAAGAACCTTGACAAAGGAGCAAGTCGCCAGGCACCCCACTGAAGGTTAGACATCTTGATGAAGGAGTGAGGTGTCCAACACCCAAGTGAAGGTCAGGAACATCGGCCAAGGAGCGAGTCGCCAGGCACCTCGTTGAGTTTGGATCTTAAGGCAACTTATGACAAGCTGGGTGACAAGTGCTTAGCCAAAGACATAAGAGAAGGAGTTAGGCGTCAGATACTCCACTGAAGGTCAGGCACCTCGCCGAACAAGGGAGGTTTCCGGTGCCCTATCAAAGGTCAAGCACCTCAATAAAGGAAATAGTCTCCAGGCGCCCCACTGAAAGAGCGAGGTGCCAGATGCCCAACTGAAGGCCAGACACCTCGACAAAGGTGCGAGTCGCCAGACACCTCGTTGAGTTTCGGTCTTGAGCCAACTAATGACAAGCTGGGTGACAAGTGCTTAGCAAAAGACATAAGCAAAAGAGTGAGGCGCCAGAAACCCCACTGAAGGTCAGGCACCTCACTAAAGGAGTGAGGTGTTAGGCGCCCTATCAAAGGTCAGACACCTCGACAGATGAGCAAGTCGCCATGTCCCCCACTAAAGATTAGGCACCTCTGTGAAAGAGTGAGGTGCTAGGCGCCCAACTGAAGGTCAGACACCTCGGCAAAGGAGTGAGTCGCCAAATCATGGGTGACAAGTGCTAGCCAAATCATCGAAGCAAGCACTCTTCTAAAAGAGCACAAGTAATCAAAAGAAAAATGGAGTAGCTCAGACGATGAATAGAAAGTAGGGGATTAACAGGGGGATCTTTTGGAAAAAAAGAAGAAAATGGGAAAAGAGTGCTAGGCGCTGGTTTCAAATGGGCAAGGCAAAGAGTGTTTAAAGGAAGACTGAGAATTTTGTTTCAATTTCATTTGATTGTCAAGATAGATTGAATCTTCTGACACGAGCTAAAATGCTCAACTAGAACGGAAGAAGATCGTATTGGTAGAGCCTAGAAGCTCCTAACACAAGCCTAGGTGCATCCTCTAAGATGCAAGATCAGGCACTCAGGAAATAATTGATGAGGAAAGGCATAATGAAAGCGTCAGGCGCTTGATAAAAGGGGCATGATTGCTTCTTTAGCTAGTCTCCGTTACTTGAGACATGCGCTTATTCTTCCTCATTTTACTACATCTTGTTTGGAAGCAAGCCCCCTACGAGGGTGCACAAGCGCTCAACAGATCAGAAGATTGACAAGGGAATGAAACACCCTCTTGAAATGAAGAGCCTGGTGCCGATTAAGTAAAGAAAGAGAGCTGGCACTTGATTAAGAAGACGAGAAAACAAGGTTAGTGAAAGACTCTCTTTATGTTGACGCCGCCATGATACTCATACCGATGCCAAAGGGGCAAGTGATAGGGTATGAAGGTAAAGCCTAATACTTGGATAAGGTGTACAAGAAGAGTCCAAGAGAATCCAAGACATAGGGGCAAAACCCTAGAGGCTTACATCATCAGAGGAAAAAGACAAGGTTAAGAGACAAGTTGGCACACCTAGTGTCATCAAGGAAGAGGTCAGAGGGACACCCTCTGCACCACCAGACACCTTCTAACCAGAAGTACAATGTACAGTGACAGAGAGTCAAAGGAGCATGAACCACCCACATAACATCCAGACTTGTATAAATAGGAGTGTTCTTCTCATGAATGGCATGCTATCTACATTTACTACAACTTCTCTCTCTAGTATTTTCCCTCGTGCTCTAGGTAAGAGTGAGATGATCCTGCACTCTCGGAGTCATGTCTATCACCCCAAGCCCCCTTTGCCCCGAGCGATCCCCTGTCACTTAGGCTCAAACAATAACTATATAGGGGTTATTAGTATTGTCCTAACCCCAACTTCAACATTTACATTGCTCGAGCTAATCTAACGAATTTTAGGGATAAGATAGAATAACACATGTCACATATACAGCCTATAGTGTTGTGACCATAACAATAAAGGATGTTAACCCGATTTAGTCCGTTGATCTGGTTGAGTAAGTATGTTTAGGGCTAATGGTCCAATCATGTTAGTCCGAATATTTGAAAAAGTCATGAAGATCGTGGAGCTTGTTGGTTTGAAGAAGGATGCAACAACGATCGAGGTTGGGACGCAGGCGAACAAGTGTAACCAATGCTATTGAGTTGTAGCTAATGTTGCAAACTATTGTCTTGACTTACTTGATGTACCAAACTTTAAAATTTTTGGTCTACTAATGAATTATGTTGTGTGACGAGCTTATGGTGTGCTTTAAATTTTTTTGGTCTAATTTTATATTTTTGTGGTGTGGTTTGTCGTGTCTATGGTCTGACTTTTGTGGTATGCTTCATGGTATGTTTGGCCGTTGTCAGCCAAGGATGGAACACGAAATGAATGGGCAGTGCCACATATGTGTTGCTTTGATAATTTTTAAAGACGACAAACGTGCCCCTCCCTTTAAAATCAACAATTAAATGTGGTCACCCCTTCAATATATAATTAGCAAACGAGAAACTTCTTATTGATTGTGGTTAGTCTTAGCACCATGCTCAAATTAGTAGTTGGCACCCTAAGACCATCTCCGACACATTAATTAGAAAACCAAATTTAGACTAGCTTTGGTTTTCTAATCCTACGAAGGTGGTTTTGCTGCAGTGGGAAGACCAAAATTATAAATCTCCCAAGTTACATTTTTTCGGAAAATTTAGTTTAGAGTAGATTTTATTATTTCCCATAATCTTTTACTTATTTTTATATAAGTAGTAATATTAATTAAGACATACATTTTGATGTAATATTTTTTTTCACTAAAACACAGCAACTAGTCCAGGTCTTCATAGATTCTTCACATGTGTGCTATAATGAGCTGTAACAAGCCTTGTATAACGCTTCATCTACATCTTCCTTCCAATTTAGAGGGCGGTTAATTTGAGCCATGATCAAGAGTTTGTGAAAAAGAGTAGTTCTTTTGTTTGATGCGAAAAGGAGAAATGTGTTAATGATGAGAAGGAGAGAAAATTGGGGAGGTTGATGCAACTGTAAGTGAAGAATTGGTGTCTATTTGTAGAGAATTTTGAAAAAATTGCTATTGGAGTGAAAAGAGCCGTTGGGCTAAAGTCTAGGTGCTGAAGGGTAAGAATTCCTTTGGTCTTATCATTGGAGTGCTAATTTTTTGATTTTTTGGTTTTCTAGTCCTAGGGTTGGAGACTATCTAACCACAATTAGTTCTAGGTGGGTTGGGTTGAAGGAGAAGAAAAGAGTGGGTATATGTATAACATGTCCTTTTATCTTGCATTTTTACCAAACTCTCTCTATTATTTTTTACATCAAACATACTCCTATACTTTAAAAATTTATCAAGTCTGTCATTTTGCTAAATTTTTTATAAAAAAAGTGATGAACCTTTGTAATGAGAGGCACATTATACATATAATACTACTTTTAATTTTGTTAATTTTGGTTGTTTATCTTTTTACCCTTAATCAAGCGGTTATTAACTTATTATCCTAACAACGTTAGGGTATTAATCCCTATTTTTCCAGTTAATTTTGATACCACATTACTTTTTTTAATCCCGATTCACTATTTAGCGATCCACGCAATAGAACTGAGAAAGTAATCCTTACCGTTAGGAGTGTGCAATGATCCGGTCCGTACCGGATCACACCAGACCAAACCGTTGTTAAGACTGGACCGGACCAGACCGAGTAAAATGCGGTCCGGTCCTTGGTCCTCATGAATTTTATAATTACTAAAGAAATGGTGGATCGAGCTCATATTTGGACCGGACCGAACCGGACCAAATGGACCAAATGCAAGAATGGTCCGGTCCTTGGTCCTAACTCCTAACATGTCTTTCACTAATGGACCACGGTTCTCATGAGTTTGGTCCGGTCCGGACGGAACCGAACCGTTGCACACCCCTGCTTACCGTACCGAAGATTCCAAGAGAAAGTTGAATAAAGAAAAGAGAAAAGGCGGCAGTTCCGAGAACAGTTTATGCAACCACCAACAGATTGGACTTGGTAGTTAAATTCGGCAACCTGAGTACGCGGAGGCGGAAAGAGTAGGAGAAGGATACATCGAGGCAAAATGGAGGCATTGGGATGGTGGCTAATGCTCGTCGGAACCCTTCGATTAGCCTCCGTCTGGTTCGGTTTCTTCAACATTCCCAGGCTTAGGTCTGGCGTCTACGGCAAATCTCCTAGTAAGCCCTTCCTTTTCCTTCTTCATCTTCTTTTCCAAACAAGTCAAACGTTTCTTTGGTCCCCTTTTTTAATTCGTTGCTTGGAATGGTGTTTGAACAAAATTCGGAAACCGAGCTATGTACCGAGATCTGTGCAAATGCAAATGTCGTCGGTGTTTGGTTGGTCAAATCGAACCTCTCGAGGCTTACGAAGTTTCCACCTTGCATGTGTTGGTTGGATCCATGATTTCGGGAGAAAGCAATGAAGCTAAAATCTGAAATTGCTTGCTGAGTGTTACTTCCTTGGGCATTCTATTTACCTTTTCTGTTCGCAAATTTTAGCTTTAAAAAAATGGATGTTCAGTGATTTATGTCTTTGTCTTTGGACTCTTTGGAGATATTAAGTGATTTGTTGTCGAAGTTAGCGAGTCAGCCTCTGTTGCATTCCTTAAGGAAGAAGTCAAGAAATCCTGCCTTTGATTGATTGATTGATACCCCTTTTCCTTGTTTGCGGGGGAGGGCAAGGTAGATCGTTAGTTGGGTGCGTCCATCCATATCCTTTGCTCAAGGAATGGTGCTCAATGGGAGAGATATTGCATTACATTATGTGGTAAAGCTGAAAACTTGAGTCTTTTTGTGGGAGGAGGAATGGCGAAAATCTAACAGGATCAATATACTTTATGGACAATGAGATGAATTTGGGTGAGATTCTGGTGAGAGGATAATCAAAGGTTTATTTTCAGTAGCCAAGAAAGATGTGGGTTCGCAAGAATCAGACAAGGATATTGAATGTTGCTAACACACTGAGGATTTGGTGTAGATATGTTCAGGATTGGTTCTGTTCCAAGGGATGTATTTCATATTAAATCACTTCATGCTAAGGTGGTTGAGGCTATGATTTCTTACTTAGAAGGGTGGCTACAGAGGGGGTTGAACTTGCTAGATGTCAACTAGTTTAATCCATGTTCTGTGAGGTGCATGAATCAGGAATTCTGCACTCCAGGCCAAGAATGTGCATAGGAACCAGGAAAGTGTGAGCCAACATGAACTTAATAATGATTTGTTACGTATTTCAATGCCGGTAGGCAGTGGTTGCTTCTCTTAAACTCCATGCCAAATGGCAATTGTTTTCTTTATGGGGATCCTGAGAGATACGGAACTAAAGATTTTTTATGAAGCTTTCAATCACCATGAATCATCTTAACCACAAGCTTTGGTTATTGGAGGTCACATGCTACAATCCAGGATAAGTTATGGGCCTAGTAAAGAATGCCAATCACCTTAGTTGTGAGTTGGAAAGGAAGAATGGAAGATTTTGTCTAATAATGCCTGAATGTTACCGAACGTTCCACTGGGTGATTGTAGATAATGCTAACCCCTATTGACTTGGCAGAATGTGAACATATTGGGGAAATAAAGAACTGCAGATGGAAATGCATCATCTGGAACCAGCTGATTATTTTTTTCTTCCTGATAACATTAGAAATATTAATGCAGGGGAATGAACGTATTAAGTAGGGTTCCGTAATAGACTTTAAACATCTCAAGGTTCAACTAAGACCAGCTTTTCATTTTACCTGTGTATACGCCTATTTCAATTTCTAGAGAACTATCGTTGGAAACATAACAATTAAGAACTTGTTAGCAACTTTATGGCACCATGCTCGGGCCTTTGATAATGCTGAAGAATGCGTGTTCATTAGAAAGGACATGGTAAAGTCCCACAGCTTATGATAAACATGCAGAAGAAATATACGTTGCGGTTAGTGGCCTTTTGATTCTAGTTTCTGCTGTCGTACTTGCTGACCCTCGTTTTGGCAACTTTATGCAGTGACTGCAGTTCATGGAAGGACATTTGCAGTTTGGACGCTAGTGACGTGCACTCTTTGCTATACATGTGCATTTAACCTTGATGACAAGCCACTGTACTTGGTGACCTTCTTATCATTCATCTATGCGCTTGTCCATTTCTCAACCGAAACCCTTATATATCAGTCCATGAGCATTGCTAATTTGATGACCGTCAGCATCTTTGCTGGTAAAATCTCTTTTCTTATACTTTGCTTTGATTTTAAGTTCTTCTTGTTCTTACTTGGTGGAAGTTAATGGACTCTCTGCTTACTGTGACTGACCATCTTGGTGCATTCATTATGATCTTTGTTCCTAACTTTTATCATTAGATTTTGTCGAAGTGTATGTAGAATTTAGTGATATTGATTGAAGAATTAGGCCGATAATTTTGCAAGTCTAGAGATCTGTTCACTTGGCATCTAAGGGCTGTTTCTTGCTTTTTCGCTTTACTGATTCTTGTCTCGCCCAGACTTGGGGGTTGGAACCTTGTTCCATGACCCCCCGTTTCTTGTTTGGGACCTATTCTCCCTTTTCTGTTACTCTAATAATATAGATCACCCATATATATTTTTTTTTTGCGAGTCTAGAGTCTAGACCTTCATCGTCTAACTGAGCCATACTGTTGTGACGTGTTGGCATGCTTAACTTCAAAATTTCTCTGTTTTCTTATGCCCAGACTGCCTAGTCATCTACTGTAATTGGTGGAAAGATGATTTATAGCATCTGACGGTTTTTCGTCTGTAGATGTTAACTCCAATTTGCATCTCCAAATCTCACCTGGATTGCCTTACTTCATAAAGCAATTCTTATCCACGTCTACTCGTTGAAAGTTCTATCATCTGCATGAACTCCTCTAATCCATGTTCTTACATTTCATGTGAACCAGGTACATCGATAGTATGGATGCTGGTGCAATGGAACTGACATCAGGGAAGCTGAGCCTGATCATTTTCTTAAAGCGAAAGTACTCCTAGTCGGGGATGGAGTTCAGGTTTAGTTTCCTGTTGTTTTGTTATCAGATCCTTCCTGGTCCGAAGGAATGGACCTCAGGTTCAATGATTTTCACGCTGTGGCCGCTGGTGCTCTGATTCCTTAGGCAAGGAGGGTCTGTAAAGTTTAGATTTACAGAGCGGATGGATTCGCTATGGTGAAGTAGTTGTTTTATGGGTGCACTTGATTAGGAACTCTGCAGTCTAAGCCAAAGGCATGCGTGAAACTAGCAAGAAGTAACCCCACATGAATTTAGATGTTTTCTTATTGCGTACTTCACTGCCGATGGATCCCTGTTGTGGTTGCTTCAGCTAAAATGTTTCTTTGTTCCAGACATTTTCAACTGTTGTTCGTCATCGTTACCTTTTCTTTTAATGGATCATTCGTCACCTATAACCATACGCTTTGGCATATTAGGAGCTACCATGATAAGATTGATAAGGCATGGATCGAACAAGAATACGTCATCCTGTGGAGTGGCATTTTTCTTTAAGTTTTTTATAAATAATGATCACATCGTGGGAATACACAACACTGTTGGAATAAAAGTAGGAGAGCAAGTATAGCACCGCTTTTATTTCATACTCTCATAGAGTGATTACATTACATTAAGAGAACATATATAGAGAGATGAGGGGAAGAGAAGTTGTCTATTGGAGTGTCTTCTCCTTGTCTTCTTAGTTCTCTTTTATAGGGGAGAGAGTCACTTGGTCGAAGACATAAATGGCTCATGCCAATACATTTCCAACCAATTCCATTAAGGTTGGTTAAATGGTGTATCAGGCCCGTCAAGGGCAGGTGCATCATACCATATCCACTGCAAGCTCTTCTTCTCAGGCTAATGGGCCATGGCTTATGAATTATGCAGCTTCCATCATGTAACTCCGAATTTGGGCCAACTCTCCATTTATTCAGATTATACAGGCCCAGATGAGATTATTATGGGTGATGGATCAAGTTTGGCTATATCTCATATTGGTTCCTCCTCTGTTTCCGTTATCTCATGTCTTACATTTACAAGATATATTGTGCGTCCCAAGTATCAAGAAGCATCTCATATCTGTGGCCAAATTGTTCAAACTAATCCTGTCTTTGTGAAATGTTTTGCCACTCATTTTATTGTGAATGATCTTCGCACGGGGGCGCAATTGCTGAAGGGGAAAAACAACGGTGATGCTTATGAGCTACCTCGCGAAGTGGAGAATGTGAGAATGACTTTAGTAACAACTCACACATATGCATCCTCCTAGCATGCTCGTCTGGGTCATCCTTCTCATCAATCCTTCACTAGTCTCATTCGGTCCTATTCTCTTCCAATTTCATCCTCCGTTGGTAGCTTTTCTTGTGATGCTTGTCTTTATAATAAAAGCCATAAACTCCATTTTTTCTGTTTCTTCTTTATCAAGCATTAGACCTTTTGATCTTTTGTACACTGATGTTTGGAGACCCACAACTGTTTCCTCTATTAATTATTCTCGCTATTATTTGATTATTATTAATCATTTTACTTGATATACGTGGTATTATCCATTCCGAAACAAGTCTAATGTTCTACAAGTTTTTCTTGACTTTATGATAATGGTTGAAAATTATTTCTCAACTACCATTCGTCGCTTATACACTGATGGGGGCAGAGAATTCCAAAAACTCCGTTATGATCTTCTTACTCATGGCATAACCCATCTTCTCACTCCTCCTCATACTCCCGAACATAATGGGCTTGATGAACGAAAACATCGCCATCTGCTTGAAACTAGTATTAATCTTCTTCATCATGCTAAACTTCTCACCTCTTTATGGTCTTTTGCCTTTTACACTGCCATTTAGCTTATCAATCGGCTCCATTCTTCTGCCTGATGTGGTAAAATACCTTACACCATTCTTTTCAATCTCTCTCCTAATTATCACAAGCTTCGTATTTTTGGTTGTCTTCGTTATCCATGACTTTGACTGTACTCCTCTCACAAGTTTGATCCACGCTCTCGTTCATGTCTTTTTCTTGGTTACTGTCCTCAACGCAGTGCCTACCATTGTTTTGATCTCGACATTCAACAAATATTTCTCTCTTGTCATGTTATTTTTGTTGAGTCCTCCTTTCCAGGCTATCACCACTCCTCATCCGTTGACTCACCCACCTTAGCCTCTTGGATCATGGATTTTTCCCCAACCATTTCCACTATTGGAGGTCGTTCTTCATTCTTCACAGGCACAACTCCACTTGGACCGCTGCCTGGCCCACTCCCTTCAGTGTCACCGACTCCCCTACCAGATCTCTCCAATGGGTCGCCTTCCTCTACCCCATCTTCTTTGGCCTCTTTGACTGATGGGCCACAGACCCCGCCGAACGGGCCTCCGCTAGTGCCTACCCAGCCTCCCCCCTCTTCTCCGCACACATAAGATGCAGAAACGGGCCTTGCATGGCATTTTCAGGCCCAAAAAGCACCTCTTCCACACTTAATTGGCCCACCCGCTTCCGCCCCTTGAACCTCTCAATGTATAGGAAGCCCTTCTCTATGTTGAGTGGTCTGATGCCCTCTTGGGTGAACAGCAAGCTCTTCTCGCCAACTCTACTTGGGATTTAGTTCCTCGACAACCACATTATAACGTCCTTGGTCATCGTTGTGTCTTTCACGTCAAGCATCACTCTGATGGGTTATTGCTCGGTTCAAGATTCGGTTAGTGGCCAAGGGCTATAATCAACGACCTGGTCTCGACTTTACAGACACTTTTAGCCTGGTGGTTAACCTGTCATCGTTCGCACAGTATTCACCCTGGCTCTCTCTCAAGGATGGTCCATTGATGTTAATAATGCTTTTCTTCAGGGTCTTTTGCAGGAGGAAGTTTATATGGTTCAGCCGCCTGTCTTTGTCTATTCTCGCGACAATGTTCTTCTCTATTTCCTGGTATATGTTGATGACTTGCTCCTCACTAGCAATGATCTCGGCATCGTCGACAGTTTTGAGCAGGCTTCAGGTGCTCGGGGCTCTTCAATATCTTCTCTACGCTTGTCGAAAACCTTTCCTAGTCCGTCAATAAGCTCTCTCAATATATGCATGCACCCACATCTCATCATTGGCAGTGTGTCAAACGTTTGTTGTTCTACATTTTTGGTACTCACCTACGTCCTCTCTATCCGCCGCGTTTCCAGGTCCATGTCCCTCTTCGCATTTGCCGCCTCTGGCTGGGCCGGAAATCTTCACATCGCTTCTCCGCATCTGGGTGTTTGATCTATCCGACTCCACTCTTATTTCTTGGCGCTCCCAAAACCAGCGAACCGTCGCCCGTTCCAGTACCTTGGTCGAGTACCGTGCCATTGCGAATGCCACGGCTGAACTTGAATGGGTTCAGAATCTTCTTAAAGAGCTCCATCACATTCTGCCGACTACACCTGTTCTCTATTCCGACAATCGTGGTGCCACATACTTCAGTTTCAATCCGGTGTTTCATTCCCGCATGAAACATCTCGCTCTAGACTATCATTTTGTTCATCAGCTGTTTCAGGCAGGCTGCCTCCACGTGGCCTATGTCTCTACTACGTTTCAACTTCCCAACGCTCTCACCACACCACTCCCTACCACCAGATATCTCTTGCTACGTTCCAAGCTTGGAGTCGTTGATACCTCCTCCATCTTGCGGGGGCGTATTAGAGATGATTTAAAATAAAAGAATTTTTATTTCTTTATTTTTCCCACTACATTCAGTTCCTATCTATCTGGAACGTTGGTTTATTCTGTTCCTTCTTTCTCTCACCTCACTTGTATAATTACTCTATAAATGTATCAATCCAATCTACATTTGATTTTCTACAACAAACTATATTCTACAAACCCTCCTTTCACAACCCACCCTATTGCTTGTCTATTGTAAGGATTTCCATCCTATGTACACAGGTATAAACATCTTGTACCTTTTAATCATCCCCAAAAGAAACATCTCATGGGAGAGTTCGTTCTGTTTTGTCATGCTTTGTAGTAGGTGTGGGCAAGTGGTGCAGTTGGATCGTACTACACCGTATTGATACAAATTGCACAACACCACATGTTATTTGGACCGCACCATACGGTTGGCTGCAATTTAATTGTTGCGGTCAAGCTGAGATTGGAGTGTACCGCATATTTGACCGCAATTTAAATGTCATGTTATTACACCTCAAAATAATCTCTTACTACACTGATGAGTTACAAGTTGATTATTGATCTTATAAGGCCATATCAATTAGAACAATTAATGTTATTTAGGTCGGGCCCCATGTATATGAACTTTTAAGCCTAAACCACTAAATCATAGTAAGCATGGACATGATTCAATAAGAACATGACCCTCTCGTAAGAGGGAAAGCCATGCCATGTCACAAGAATAATAAAAACATGAACCTCAGGAAGCATATCTCGAAGAAGACAAAAAATTACTAAGTCTGAGAGGTCCATACCGTTTCACGAGAAAGACCATGGACGCAAGACAAGAGGCCATAGGCATGATTGAAAAATAATAAGTATAAGAAGGCCATATCGTGTAACAGGAAGGTCTAGGGACATGATTGAGAAGGGCCGCGAAAGAAGAGGTCTTTCCATGAGATCAAGTTGATAACGATGTAATTGCACGTATTTGCACCCCTAGTTCTTATCCGTTTGAGGGGCATAGTCGTGTATTTTTGGCCTATTTTACGCCGGGTTGTGTTACTTTGTCATATTTCAGGTCTCAGGCGTCAAAGGAAAGGCTAAGCACGAGTTTCGGGACATTCGGAAGTCATTCGGTCGAGCTGGAGCCAAAACACGGGCACACCTAAATCAGAACACGGCCGTGTTCCTAGACCGTGCTTTTATTGCCGAGACTTGATCTGAGTTTGGCAAACACTAGCTCAAAACACGGGCAGGGCTGAAACAGAACACGTCCGTGTCCACCAAAAGCACGGCCGTGTTTCTCCCAACAGGCTG